TATATATATATATATATATACTGGGTGTCCCAAACCACTCGTACCACCCATTTAAAAACGTGGGAAGTGGTTATTTCAAAATAAAAAAATTATTCATTTTATAAATTGAATACGCTCTATCAAATGATGATATTTTCAACTTCCGGTTCCGGCCGGAAATGAGCGATTAAAACCAGAAGTAATTTTCTTTAAATAGAACATAATATTTTTTATTACAGATTCTTGTAGCTTATTTCGAGAGGTTTTCAAAACACTATAATAAAGTATTTTTTTAATAAGTACTTTTTGAGTTATTTTATATTTTCATCTGACATATTTTGATATAAAAAATAAAATATCTCGTAAAATATTTAGTTTTCGATAATCTTACCGTAATACTTTTATGTACAGAATAATGAGACAAATCAATTAGTAAAAAAAAAAAATAATTGTTTTTAAGAAAAAAGTATGTAATTATTTACAATGCGATTTAGCAATTATTTGTTTTTTTTTTCATTATTCTGTACATAAAAGTATTACGGTAAGATTATCGAAAACTAAATATTTTACGAGATATTTTATTTTTTATATCAAAATATGTCAGATTAAAATATAAAACAACTCAAAGAGTACTTAATGAAAAAATACTTTATTATAGTGTTTTGAAATGCTCTCGAGATAAGCTACAAGAATCTGTAATAAGAAATACCATGTCCCATTTTTTAAAAATCACTTCCGGTCTTAATCGGTCATTTCCGGCCGGAACCGGAAGTTGAAAATATCATTTGATAAAACGTATTCAATTTATAAAAAATATAAGGATATATATTTTTTTTTTATTTCAAAATAATCACTTCCCTAGCTTTTAAATGGGTGGTACGGGTGGTCTGGGATACCCAGTATATTACATATGTTCCCATATAGCATGCATATCCTAAAGATGTTTAAAGGACATCCCATAAAAATATCCCGTTCAAAGATGATCTTCGGGATATCTTCTGGATGTCCTTTGGATATTGCATGCTATATGTGCATGTTATAAAGGAAATATTTGTTTTTTTTTTTAGACTAAATGGTTGTGCAAAAGACAATGTTAAAAAAGAGCGCATTTTCACTCCTAAGAAAAAACCAATTCAAAGAAAACATTAATATATATAATAAAATAAAAAATGATTAGAGATCTCACAAACTTAAAGAAAATTGATGAGAGACTGAAACGGCAATACTTGTGCCAAATCATGATACTAAATTAGAAAACGCACTTATTTCTTCCCATACAGCACAGAACGTTGCAGCAATATTGCAGCAACATTGTAACATTGCCGCAATGTTGCAATATTGCTGCAATGTTGCTGCAACATTCTGTGCTATGTGGGTTATAAAATATCGGATATCATACATTGGAAATCGGACGCAGATTGAATTCTCCATTAGATTGATATTATATTAATATATTCATACAACTTCGTACAACTAAAATATTTGTCGAACGTATCGATTGGCTATCAGATAGAGAATTTTTAGAATCTCGGTAGAGACTTTAGAAATTCTTTATTCGATAGCCAATCGCTACATCTGACAAATTCGTCATACGACAAATGGAATATCAAGCGACGCGGTAGCGTCGCGACGCCAAGTATATATAAAAAAACTTATGAATATATATCTCGCATTGCAACATGCTATTATAATATTACACGTATGCAAAGGAAGACAAAGTATTCATACGTAGTATTTATTTTTATTATTCTCAAAGTGGATCTTACCGCAACAAAATTTGGATCGTTTTAATTTATTAATCTGTTCATCACTATACATACATAATATGTATACTTAGGCTTTCTTTATACGTATAACTATATTACATTATTTAAGAAAAAGATCAATGTGCAAGTTTTTAATTTGCACAATTCTACTTGTTAAAGTATATTATATTATATATAACTATATTATTGTTGAACATTATATATTAAAAATAAAACGTATGCCAATTCTATATAAATAAAACTCTATTAATTTAAGATAATACAAAAAAAATATTTAAAAGAAAATACTTAAAATAAAAAATACTTTATCTTCTTTGGTATCTTCTATGACACTTCATTTATCTTCTTTGGGATCCTCTATGGCACTTTATGTTATATTACCTCACAATAATACAGTAGGATTCAATAAATTTAACGAATGCTAATTCTACATAAATAAAACTACTGTATCATTGTAAGATAATATAATGTAAGCACATATATATTATTGTTGAACATTATATACTAAAAATAAAATTAATGAATGCCAATTCTACAATAAAACTAAACTTTATTATTGTGATTTACTTATTATTATTAAGAAATTTATTATTATTAGATATTCTACATGAATAAAAAATTATATTATATTATTAAATATTATATGCTAAAAACGCATATATATTTTTTGCAGAAAAAATATAGATTTTTACAAAAAGCAATGAGATCACCTAAAAAAAAACCTCACAAAGGTAAAAAAATACGCCATGTATATAAAAAAATCCCAACTTGTACGCAAAAAAGTTTATTATTTATCCCTAAAAAATAACTTTTAAAAAATTTTTCCTTGAAAAATAATTTTCATACAAAATAAAAAAACTAAAAAACGATTTTCTTCAAAAAATAAAAATCTTTAAAAAATCAAAAATCAAAAATCAAAACTAAATAGGAAATCAAGTTAACTAGCCAAGTACATAAAAACAGTTCAGGTTGTAAGAGTTTGTAATTTAAAATAGTATTTGTTTGATAAAATCA